GACCGTATTTGGTCGTGTTGGGAGAGGAGGGGCCGTATGTGGCTTTTAGGGAATTTGCCGTGCTAGGAAAAATTTTTTCCCTGCTTTTGTGCCCCGCTCGACGAAAAATCTTTGGTTGAAAAACAGGAATATGTGGGGAATTGGTAGGTAGGTGGTAGGGAAAAAAGGGGGGGGGGAATTGTACCGAGATCCTCATTTAGGGGGGGGGGTTGTACCGAGATCCTCATTTAGGGGGTGTACTGACACTTTATCTCCGGGGGTCTACCTACACCACCATTTCACACATCACGATGCTGTGCCCTTGCTAGCGTTGATCAGTTGCTTTCTTTATTGAACCCTCATTGTCTACTTTGTGGTAACGGTATATTGGGCGCTGTTCCGCTTTGAAGGGGCATCGACTAACAAGTTCACTGTTAAGAGCTTGCAAAATGACAAAATGATCCAAGGGAGCCATTTTGGTGAGAGGAATTCATAGGAATGCACTAGGTATGTGGTGACCTGTCTACGCTTCGCCAAGTACATTTCGTGCCCCCACCAAACCAAACTTCTTTGCACATCGAACGCGATATGGCTCATACACTGTCTCATCGGAGCCAGTTAACATATTATTCAGCTTTTTTTATCGTCAACATGTATGGCTGGTACCACTTAACCGCTGGGGAAGATGCCCACCCGAGAGGGGTCAAATCGCGAAATGCCCTGCGAGCCGTGCGCAGCACTACTTGCCTCCGCACCACTTTCATCCCAGTCATAGTCATGGTGTCAATCGCATTCAATTTCATTCCATTTTCGAATGAATTACTATCCTTCTTTTGCAAGAGCCAGTCAGTTGCTACAGTTGTGCGTCTATTACTATTTCCACTGAAAGTTCCCTGGAAGTGACCGGGTTTTGCATATCAAATAACGCAGTTGTTCTGGTGTCCCTTTCATAGTGGTAGTTTTCCTTTGTTAGCACCCTAATGCCATTTGATGAGTGAGTTATACACGGTAGTTTCGTTATCGCTTGGGTGGTCTTGCAGGTTTCCATCACGAGAGTTTTTCTACTGAGCAATGACGCAGCGCTGCCCGACCGTCTGTTGCATTAATCGTGTGTTTTTTGCACTCGGAACTCTTTGATGTTCCCGATTTTGATGTGCATCACAAAAACATTGAACGCTCGCGTGAGAAACGGCATTGGCCACAGAGAACGCAGGTAACGTTCTGTCTGCTCGTTAGGTGGAACAAATGAAACCGTAAGTGGGGTATATTTTATGTGTTATGATTCAAACGATTTTCATAATTTGATTCTAGTGGCATGGAATTGGCTGGCGTTTCCCTGAGCTGGCAAACATTTCCTTCAGCTGGTGGGGGCAAATAAAATAGCCTGGGGTCATTGGAGAACCAACCTAAAACGCTCCCGAGGTGTTCCTAAGCTGAACGGAGCTCTCAACTACTGCTTCCACTAGTGAGAGGAATCCATCGTTGGATTTGAACTGGATGAGACTTGCAACTTTCAGCTGGCTGCCTTAACAGCCGCGTCATTTTCAGAGGTATGACTCATGGAGGCGGAGGTGATGTAATGGCAAAAGGCACGCATACCACGCGCTGGTCCAGGGGTCAGATCTCGGATTAACTCCCGCCCAGGGCCAACAGGCCTTCTACCCTCCGAGGGACGGTGAATTATACCCATTCGTCTGGGAGGATAAGAACACTGACTTGTACATCGGCTGGCCCCCGCAAGTCATTGTATAGGCCACATCGCATTCAATAAGCTGTTACGATTTGAAAGGAAACGGACTGCATGCCGCCTACCGAAAAAGGAATTAATCAACGACGAAGAC